GGTCGGTCTATAAACAGACTGGTTACAACTCTTCTCCCAGCTCTACACGATCTTTCTTTGCAAAGTTATAGAATTTACAAGAAAAGCCCTAAATGTTCATTGTCAGCTCAAAACTACAGAAATAAGAAGAAATTAATTTAGGACTTTTCTTGTAAGTTCTATAACTTTGCAAAGAAAGATCGTGTAGAGCTGGGAGATGTCTCATTTTAATCAGAAATGTCCGGGCTACAATCATGCCACATTAAGAAAAGGTTTTGGTTATTTGTTTAGAGTTTCTGGTTTTCCAGAAAATCGGATCTTCAGGAGTCATCGGGAAAAATCCGTTTAGGTTTTATACTATCTCGATATACTCTATCGATTGACGTGTGAATGAATGAAAACGGGGTGTGTCACCTGAGAACGTTTCCTCGTCAGTTCCTCAACAATAGAAAGTAAGAGTGGCCCATAAATAATAGATCACTTATTATAGACTATCATCATGATGGTTGCTTTTGACCCTTCTGTATTCGTAGTGAAATGTTGTTGAGGAAGAAATTTTGTGTCGTAGTGTTTTGCCATGCTCGTCACATCTTCCTTCCACTTTCCTTCTAGTTACGAAATGTCTTTGAATTCGAAGTAGTATTGTCCTACAGCTTACTTCGTTGATCTTTCTTTCTTTTGTTGTATAGGCTGCTTTTCACCTTTGTTCTTTTGTTTTAGGTTGTTGATTGTTAGTGTTATGGCCAACTTTTCTAATCCCAATTACAATTTCAATGATAATATAAAAGCAGCTGCTAATCTGAAGTTGGATTTATCAAAAATTTCAACATCAGAACAACATGAAATTTTCAGAAAATATCAAGAAGGCGCAAATGTTACGGAAGTCGGATCATTTTTTGGTTTTCTTACAATGATTGGTCATTTTTGTCGGAATAGTTTCTTTTTACATTATAATTCCGACTCCGAAGAAAAATGCGTTAATTTATATTCAGTTGTTATTGGTCAATCAGGTAGAAAAGTCTTTCAATAAAAATTGTATCTTTTACCAGTACGTATTTTGAATTACAGGTACTGGTAAATCAAATATTATTCGTGTGATTAAAGAAGCAGTTGTAAAAGTTGAAGAGATCTTCTCATATTTTTACTTAAAACCAGTCAGAATCGGAATGGAAGAGCAAGAAACATCTTCTATTATATCGGATTTGTCATTACTGGGGCTCAGAAAACATTTAGCATCACAAAATAAAATATTGATGTATGATGAAGCAGATAACATATTGCAAAGATATGGAGTATTTGGTAATGAAAATGCTAAACATGCTGCCGCAGCTGCATTAATCATGAAAGCGTTTGATGGGTAAGCTACACGATTGTACAATAATACATGAATACCATTTTATTCTTATTTTTTTAGTATTCGAGATGAAACTCGATCAACTGACTCTACGAGTGTAACAATTACTCGTGCCAAAATGTCAATGCTAGTAACAACCGTTGGTGCAAAATATGACAAACTTCTCAAATGTTGGGCAATGTTTAATGGAAGCTTAGAAGGTTTACATAATCGAATAATACATCAAGTGCTTCCTCCAATTAAACCTATGCGTCCACAAGAGCAAGTTTCAAAACATTCTGTTTTTTACCTTTAGAAAGGATAGCCAACGAAACTTGTTTTCTCTTACCTTTCCATCCATTTGCAGAATAACCGCGAATGTTTAAATAACTTTTGCAAGAAAGATGTCGAAGATCTGAGTTTTTCTGCATCTAGTAGAGGAAACTTTATCACGTATTTTCATATTTTCATATTTGAAATATTGATTTTTAGGTTGTGTGTCGGATAAGTGAAAAAGACGTGGTTGCCAGGTGTTGAAACTGGGAAGGATTTTTAATTGAAATAATATGATTATATAGCCCAACGCGTCGTCTATAATTCTTGCGCAAGACCGATCTACAAAATTAAACATGTATTAATTAAATACAAAATCAAAGCGAACAACTTCAGACAATCAAGATGTATCCTATATTGTCCATATAATATCATAGAGTTCCATAAAAGTATGCAGTATTACATACATGCTAGAATAGATACCTATGTTCCTGTTTCTTTCTGAAGTTAACAGACATAATGAAAACAAATTACGGGTTTATGAGAAGTATGGCTGCCACCCAAGGATCTTAACAAATATACAGGTCTGCCTTGCGTAGAATTGTAAAGGACACGTTGGACTGTGTAATCATATGGTTTCAATTAAAAATCCGTTCCAGTTTGAGTACTTGACAACCTCATTGTTTTCATTTGTCGGGTACAATCTAAAAATCGATATTTCTAACCCATGGGCGGTGTTCTCAAAAATGTTTTCATCCATGGACTTAGGCGTCCATAATAGCCGCTGGTTCATAGTAGTTGATTGAGATTTTGGAAACGGAAGCTTCTACTGATGGGAATATATGTTTTTGACTGTCCTTAACCTTATGGCAGCATTTGTTGTGAAAGTACAAAATCTTATTGCGTAGTTTTGCGATTCTACTATCAAGTATCCCAATGCATAGAGAGCTTATCGACATTCAGTGATCGTCATTTTCTACTGTAGCTAGTAAAGGTATCAATTAAAACATGAATATCGGCAACTAGTGGCCTGTTATCGCTTTTCTAACTAACCTAGTATTATTCCAAAACATTAGAGACCGCTATATTTTCTAGCTCCAATGTAAAACCTATGCTTAATTATTATTTTTTCTTTTACTATAGTCAGAAGGAAAAAAAGAATAAACAAAATGTGCCTTCATTCGCACATATTGCATTGATCACACATTTATTTGGTGATGTTCATTATGTATGGAGAAAATCCGAGAAAGATGATACAAGTCTAAAACATGGTAAAGGGTTTTATCTGTTGAAGTGACAATAATCCTTCATTCCTCTTTTCTATAAAAGATACAGGATCTCAAAATTTACAATCAACATCAGATCCACAAGCTCAGGCCGCACACTGTAGCGCTTATAATTACACATATAATAAAATGATTGATTATATGTTGAAAAAACCTGTTAATGATCAGACGGATGAAGAAGAATTACAACATGAGATAATCGGTACTAATACAAAAGCAGTGATTATTATTCCTCGTTTGTGCATCTTATTTCAAATATTCAATTATGCCATGGATGTATTGAAAAAATGTGGAAATGGCGTTGTGTTTGACGAAGGTTATCTAACATCAAGAAAAATTAATGAATCATTGATCCGAAATGCAGCAATCATAGTGAATCAAATATTAGGTTTTGCACCTAGAAGTCCACATTGTCCGAGAATGCCAATGTTATTTGTCGAAAAATCGGCTTGTGTTGCAGCCTGTAACTATTATGATCATCTTCATAATACTGCTGTTACATTGTTTACACTACCAAAAAAGTCGTTATCTAGGTGTAAATTAACAAGGCCACTATCATCATCACATGTACCATCAACACCGGAGGAAGCAATTTGTTTATTTCCATACAATTTTTTCATGTCTGATGCTCTAACAGCGACAACGCTGGAACAATGGCAAGTAAAAAAGTAAGATTTTCGATTTATCCTTTATCAGCTATACCAAAATTTCGCTCGTTTTTCTAGTTCACTGTTTCATAATAGCGATGATTCAGTTAAAGCAGCTTTAACAAATTTGATCAATGATGGAATTTTGATCAGCGGTGATTTTCCAGTTCATTCTAAAAATAGTCATCATGAAAGTATGATGAAAGTTCCAGTGCCCCATGATCAACGAAAACGTGATGAATTTGAGACTAAATTGAAACAATATAATGTCAAATTAAGTGATTACAAAAATGTGTACAAAACATCAGCAAAACCAGCAAAATGTCGATTGTCTCGTGAAACTGTTTATTTTTATTCTCAGTTTGCTGATTTTGTGCCTGAATATTCAAAGTATAAAACGGATATGAAAGAAACAATTGAGCAATTAATAAAACATGGTCATATTACAGAAATAATTGTAAATAATGACATTCAATATGCTGTTTCATCAACATCTATGCATTTTCGTTCTCTTTCCATTGATAAAGCAACATACGAACAACTAAAAAAAGAATTGCCACCGCTCCTGAAAAGAAAAAACTCAGCAAAATCTTCCGGATCACAATCAGACGATACGAAGACAGCATTTACACAATTATTAACAACGCCTGCGCCTTCACAGTCAATGACAACATCAACACCCCTTTCGAATAAGTGTTCACAACAACTACCGATATCTGGTTTACCGTTTTACAGCCAATCTCCTTCAAGCTTGTCTGAGATGCCGAATGATATTAAAAGATTATTTGAAATGTTTTTGCAATCAAATATAAGTGTGTTGCAAGCAGTCTCTCAGCCGATCGCTGATCGTTTTTCTTTCTAGATCAATTCACAACATATCCAAATTCACTTAGCGTTCGAGCTTCACAAAACCAGACATCAGGTATACTATGGGAAAAAAGTTTAAAGGCGTGTTGCGTCAGAAAGCTAGTGTTCCTAACGGCTGAACCGATTTAGTTAAATCTCTGAACTTAAGGATATTGAAATAGATTCAGATGGCATATTCCTACAGAAAATATCTTCGGTCTACAGTAAAAAAGTTTCACTTGCGAACAAGCGTTAGAATGTCTAGAACGAATTTTATTATAAAAGGTAGCACTTCACATTAATCCACGTGTAATTTTTTCATGCAGTTCTTTTCTATACACTCAAAAAATTACACGTGGATTAATGTGAAGTGCTACCTTTTATAATAAAATTCGTTCTAGACTTTCTGACGTATGTTCGCAAGTGAAACTTTTTTACGGAAATATTAACGCGAGAAATCCACGCGCGGTCACTACACACTTCTCGAGTTTCATTAGCGGTCACGTGGCAGAAACGCCACGTATATGTTTTCGTGAACTGTTCACGTCTGGTCACAGGCGGATAACTTTTTCACGCGTGCTCACTTATCTTTTCACTTGTGACCGTTTGCGAAAAATGTGATCGAGAAAGGTTTCGTGCACAGTTCACGACTGGTCACAAGTGGATGGTTTTTTCACGCGTGCGAATACACCATTTAACAATGTTTACCTGCGCTCACATTACGTTTCACGACGTTCACCGGTGTACACGCCGCGATATCTACTAAAATTTCCCCATGGGCGGTATATACCGAAGTTCGGTATTTGCGGTATTCGGTATACCGATACCGGTGCATACCTATCTATAGCATGTTGTGCTGTGCTCTTACCAACTGGGCTACCACGGACTACAACTATGATAAGTTATCTCGCCATTATATTATGATAATACAGTTTTTCGACGTTACTTAAATTATAAAAAACAAGGGGGAGTGATCTCAAACTACACGAAAGTATCTGCGTTTTATTTAGTACTTTTCGGTGACAGTTCTTTAATGTAATCAATAACTTTTTGCTTTCTCTCTGTTATCCTGACTTATTCTAACGTCTGCGTTGCAGTAAATAATCTATCTATCAAAAAGAAAAAAAAATACGTCGAAAGTAGAATGACTATTTTTTCAACAAATAAACCGTTGCCGGACACATTTTTTTGAAGTGTTTCGCCTAGTAAAACCGAATCTTTGACTGACTTGTTGTTCAGAATAACTCTTTTCATACGTTTTGAGTAAATGAAATACTGTACAGTACAAAATACTTATCAGAATCTGGTAAGAATCCAATAAGCGTCCTGCAGGAAATTTGTATAAAACAGATAAGAATTATATAAGAGTTCATACCACTTTCTTATAAGGCTCTTGTCCTTATAGAAGTCTTGGGACTCTCCTGCGGAATATTATTTAAGAAACCGATAAGAATCTGATAAAATTCTTGTCAGATTTATTAAAAAATTTTCGTCTCGGGTAAATGTCCCTTAAAGAGATCTAAACACGAACATTGTGTTACAGAAATTCCAAATGGTGAGTCTTTTCGGAAAATTTTTTATGATAAAAATCCCCTCAGTTGTTTAGAAACCCTACTTTCTTAAAGGTTAAACTTTTCTCGATCTGCCCAGCGGAAAGAGCATGTTTCAGAACCCTTAAGTTCGGAGATTTAACTCAATCTACAGTTTCAGTTAAACTTCTTTTATAGCTGCTACTCTATCCACTAATCAATCATTACGCGATCGACGAGATGAATCATTGAAGCGATCAACAGCTTCACTACAGTCGTGTAAGTCACCAAACTCACAACAGCACTATTTTGATTCTTGATCTGTGCATTTAGACATAGATTTGACCGGTGACAGTTCACATCATTCAACAACAAATGCATCAGCAGGATCAGTAGCAAGTAGTTATAAACGCTCATCGAGTGAATCAATCGATTCAGGTAAAAAGCCACAATTCCCTTTTAGTTTAATGCAAATTCTTTCTCGCATGATTTTTTTCTGTCTAGATAACGATTCCGGTGATACTGACGAACCAGTGCCTAATCTCTATGGTAACAATAATATATCTGCTGCTGATCAGAGCTGGGCAAGTTATTTTGCTCAAGTCATCATTTTCATAAAGACATGACATCGCAGACTTCGTTTACATCAGTGTTCCACTCTATCAGAAAAAAACACAGAGGGTTCTTTGAATGAATTGCCCAGCTCTGCCGCTGATGAAAACTGGCTCACTGCTATTATTCTTTTCTGGCTTAAAAACCAAACTTCATTCAGTTACCAAATGATGCGTATTTTTTTCTTTTCCATTCCTAGATTCATTATCAACCAAACACGATAAAGATATCACTGAGCGAATGCGTGCAACAGCGGCGAAGATAATGAAACATAAATCTGTTCTTTTTGCACAAAGAGATTTTGCAACGTTAACTATGCATGATCCCAATCGACATAAAGTAATAAATTTGTTGATCCAAAATGGTTTACTTCGCTTCGGGGATTATTTTGCAAGGCAAAATAAAACTCGTGTATTCTTGAAAAAAGGCTATTTAAAGTAAGCGTTTATTTATTTCTATGTTTCTTCACAATATCTGTAGCTGTGGTTCCCGTTGTAGATGTTTTCCAAAAAACAGCTCAGTTGCGGAAAATAAAGAATTTGAATTAAGACTTCAACAATATGTAATAGCCAACTTTCACGCTTTATTTAGTAAAGTATAGAGCTGCTTTTACTATTTCAGACAGGAATGACCTATACAGATTATACAAAAAAGAAATTCACTGTAGAAACTAAAAATAAATAGCGAATATCACCAGAAGCCCAAAAGATACTTGACACAGATGATTTCTATCGTCAAAATGTTGAATATACAACAGAACGATGGTGCTTACAAGGAAAAGGTTGTTCAACATTACATTATAACAGACGTTTTGCGACAGAATCGAGCATTGTTTCTATAGATCATAATATGGTAACTGTTTTTGTTCAATCAAGTATGGATATTGCGATTTTAATATGGATAAGGTCAATTGAGAATCGGTCTGAATTCTTACGTTACTAGGCTACTAGCCTTTTTTTCAAGTTGTATATAAAGAACTGAGTAAACACCGTATAAGTACCACAGGACATCGGTTAATATTCTGTCCAGTTATACAGTATTGTGAAAAATTTCAGGACCAGATCAATCCTATCTTTTCCCTTTCGAGGATCTTTTCGATTTGTCTTTTGCTAAAGGGTCCGGAAAAGAAGGAAAACATGTGAACATATGCATTTGAGTGCCTTCTTTCCGAATATACCATCAGAATTTTCTAAAAGTTCTTAATTTCTGTTTTTTTCGGTTTTCAACAACACCATCGGAAAAAGTATCAGAAATCGAAGGAAAAAAGATAGGATTGATCTAGTCCTATAATTTTTCACAATACCGTATAACTGAACAGAATATTAACTGGTGTCCTGTGGTACTTATACGGTGTTTACTCAGTTGTTTATATACAACTAGAAAAAGGCTAGTAGGCTACTAGTAACGTAAGAATTCAGACCGATTCTCAATTGCCTTTATCCACATTAAAATCGCAATATTCATACTTGATAACACTATTCATCAAGAATGCACTACATTATAAGTTTCCGCTGTAAATTCTAGCAGGTTTTATTTTACACTTACGAAAAACCTAAGTCTTAAATACTGAAAAATTTTAAAAACCAGATCTTTCGATATAAAGCCCTAAGAACAGAAGACAACATGTCTCAATTTTTTGCGCTGTTTCAAACGAGATGTTGCTGAAAAGGATTGATTTGAAATCGACGCAGCAGTGGCTCATATATTGGAATGTCGTGTTTCTGCAGAAAGTTTCATGAAACTTTTCGTCATTTTTTTTCTATTCGAATTTAAGGAAGAAACAAAATGTGACATATCTAATTTGTATGGAGAGTCGAACGAAACTGGTTTAAACAAAAACAGTTACCATGTTATGATTTATAGAAATAATGCTCGATTCTATCGCAAAACGTCTTTTACAAAAAACAGGTGTACTAGTAAGCTGATTTCTTTCCACCAATGCTTTCTGTTATAGTACGAAAACCAAGAAAACGTGCTTATCGATTATGTCCTCCATCATCATCACTTTTAAGTATAACAACAAACCGAACATCATCAGAAAACCACCAGGACATGCAAGCAGATGCTATTCCAGGACATTCGTTACGTGAAAATTTAAAAAAGCACAAGAAGTAAAGAACAAATGGTTTAACAGACTATTCTGTATGCAGATTAAAATAGAGCGCATTGTACCATTGAGTAGATCTCGATAAAGTGCGGGACGTTCGTTTTTCCCTGTTTGATAGCGAAGGCTGCAGAATGTGTTTTTATAGACGAGCTAAATTTGAAAACTACTGTCGAAGGCAAGATTTCGGCAGCATTTTGGTTAAACTAAATTTTGTTTCTCCCAAACCTGAACAGACAATGCATTGATTTTTGACATGAGTAGATGGTCTAAAGTGTCTTCTCTAAAATCGGAGTTAAACGAGATCTTTAATGAAAAAAAACTGAAAAATGTGGAAAACTAGTTTTTCGTGCAGGAAGCATTATTTCAAGAAGCAAAAAATAAAGTTTTGTTAAGTTTCGTTTTGAATATTACGTATGGTATAGGGGTTCTAGAATTTCCAGATATCTAGTGGCTACATACAACCTTACAACTATATGAATCATCCCATGTCGACGAAATCGCGACATTTTTAACAATTAATCGCGATTCTTGAAAAAGCGCAAATTAATTGCGATTAATTGTTGATTTTAAGCGATTAAATGCTTGTTGTTATTCACCGTTTTGTTTTGCAGTAAAGTATGTATATAAGAAACACGACTTCGACGAGAAATACACTTCTATTTAGATCTTTCATTTTAGAGTAAAACGAAGTTGTCAAGAGTCTTCTATATGATCCTCTAGAGTTTTAAGCCGAGGAGCCCAGCGAACAGCTGGTATCTGAGCAATGTCTAAAATCGACTCGTCCGAAAGACTCCGATCGTTACTGGGTGACGGCCATGTCATTATACATAATAAACAATGAAAAACAGAAAAAAATATGTATTTCCTAAGATGGGTTCGAACCTCGTACCTAGAAAAAGATCGTCAGTTAATCGCTAAAATCACCAAAAAATCGGCGATTAATCGTATGATTTTCACGATCAATTGCCGAGTTTTAGGCGATTTTTACTATATAGGATAAGTCATTGACCACGCCAAGTCCGGTGGCGCCGTTTAAATTTCAAAATTTAGTAGAAAACATGTTTTAGGAAGATTGCACTTTTCTACTATTTTTATCTAACATTAAACTCTCGTAACCGCATCAAAACCCGTCGGACTTCTTCAGAGCTTTCAAATTTCACATCAATTAAAAACATCCAGTATTTCCATTATGAAAAACAACAAGAAAGAATTGTTCAAGTATCGAATATCGTTCTTTTAAAGTTTCTTAGAAGATTAATAAAGCTTAGTTAGATTAAAGTTTATCAAAATGCGGTTAATAATAGTCATTTTATTAGGAACTTCATCAATTCAAGGTAAACTTCATGTAACAAGAAAATATGTTCAAGAATGTTTGGATATTTTTGGATTGATTTCCCCTCTCATTAGTTCAAAGTTTTTCCTGGCTACAGTGTTAATAGTTCTAATGGTTGCCAAACTATGAAAGTTCTCATATGAACGTCAAGAGGGCGTCAGCCATGCCAAGTTGTCGTAGAAAGAGGTCCCGGATTTCGGGATTAAAAGCGCTTTTAGGCTTTTGGGAAAACATTTTGACAGTTGAACGAAAACTGATGAGTATGAGGGTGAGGGTGAGGTGGTTTTTCGAGAAAATCAACGTCTATGTAAGGCATTTTTCGAAATCTCGAAACCATCTCCACCATATATTTAGAAAACGATAACTTATATAAGCTTTATTTGATAAGTATGCTGTCTTGTACAAAAAAAATTAAACAGGACAGAACAAGAAGAAAGAGCCGAACCCATTATCTTTTTGTTTTGTCGAGTTTACGTTGTACAGAAAGAAAGAACAAAAAAGGAAAAGAGGGAAAATCTGCATCTGAAAGCGAAGAAACGAACTATGAAGAAAAGCAGGTGCAGGAGAGAGTGACGGTATGTCTCAGAAGACAGAAATGAGATACGTAGTACTCAGAAACGTTGGGTACTTTTGATATATTCTACGATTATTTTATGTAGCTGGGTAATTGTAAAGTCATTGATGTTTTCTAGTTTTTCTGATAGTAAAATGTGTTTAAGTGTGAAGGATCACCCAGGTGCTATATTATGCTGGTCATTTTTGAACTTAGATCGCAAATGGCGATGGTGTGAGCATTCCAAGAGAAAGTGTTTGACTGTTTCTATTTTGCCACATGCGCAATACTGATTATTTGCTGACTGCCTACCATGCAAATCGAAATTCAATCGAGAGAATTCAACACGCATTTGATTAAAATGCATTTCATGCTTTCGGTCAATGTGCTTGAATCGTGGCCATTTGTAATACGGATGCAGAAAATCACGTATCTTTGCGCGAAAGGGAGCCAGTTTAACAGTTTGATACAATTCAACAGGTGACTCATTCCACAATCACGGCAATTCAGCGTTCAGTAGTTCAGTAAAAAGTTCAGTTTTTTAGTATTATCCCCCTAAGACAAGAAAATATCATGCATGCTTCGAGTACAAACAGAACGACAAAAACAAATACAACGTCGTCTTCAGTGACGCTAGTTTGATTAAGAGGATATCAACGCAATTGTTTCTCGTATTTACGTAGCAATGATGGAGAAGGATGAGGTCAGATCCATCGAAGAGTAGTTTGCATTTAATAACTGAAAACTATGTCGACAAAGCAGACTGGTCCTGCTGTGAATGGTCAGAAAAACCTCTTAACTATTTTTCCCGACAATAAAAGTCAAATATTACATTTTGTCCTTTTCTCGTAGGCTTCTGTTGTGCAGATGGGCACCTTTACTAAATTTCATAATTGGGCTACGTTTATAGGTTTGAGCTTCTTGATCCTGAAATAATAACCTGCTGTGAACCGTACGAAGTAGTTCTTCAAGTAAACTTTTTACTAATTGAAGAGATAAAAAAAAAAAACTTGCGAGATATTGGGCGAAAGGGTTTCTGTGTTCTGATATTCTCTTTTAATCGGCTATCCTACACGACAAAGAGCCATCTCCACAAATATTTCTCCAACACACAGAAATAAAACGTTTACGTAAGAATTTGCGAGTTTTTAAAAGTTGAAAACTGCGTTTATGAAAGTGCAACCTACAAGTATTGTTTTTCTGGTTTACGAGATCCACAAACCCTCTCCTTAACGCTTTCATGTTGCTTGTTTAAACCAGTTTACGAGAAATTTATGTGAAGGTGTTTTGCGTTTATTATTCAGATGTCAGACGAGAAAACCATCATTGGTTGCACATAATTTCATAAATACCTTCTTCGTTTCATAACACACGCTTTTTATTTCCGAAATAGTGATTGTCGTCTTAAACCTAGCACTTACATAGAGCCTGTGCGAGAGAAACGAGCCAAAATAAGCCTTCCACGTTGTATATGTGTGTTTTTTCTTATCTGTCAATCTTCAATCAAATATCTAGGTAGATGCGGTTAATTCAAAGTTTGAGCACTTTTGTTTTTTGCATCAATATACATAGGTAGATTTCACGAATAACCTTTTTTATAAATGGCACTAGTGCTTTTTTCTTACACGCTCCAGCTTCTAAATTTATCTTCTAAATTGAGAAAGCCCTTTAGGCTCATCATCAAAAAAAGCCAAAAATTTTGCTTACTTTGTCAAACGACTTCGAAAAATCTAAAAACCATGCCAGTACAGGTTTATTCTCATTTAATCGTTTCGCAAAATAATCACCAATAGCGATAGGTATGCACCGGTATTCATACCGAAATACCGATATCGAAAATACCGAACTTCGGTATATACCGATACCGAAAATACCGACTTTTTCCACTTGGAATTTTTGGGATTTTTTCATTTGAAGTGAGATGTCTTAGCGTCCTGGACACCCAGAATGAGTCAGGGACGGAAAACAAGAGCTTTGTTTGCTTTCTAAAGCCAAAGTTTTTCTTTTCTTTCTGTCTGCACATGCTCAAAATACACAGCTGAGTGTTGTTTATACGTTCTGCTTGTCCAGGATGCTAAAATACCTCATTTCAAATGAAAAAATCCAAAAAATTCCAAGTAAAAAAAAGTCGGTATTTTCGGTATCGGTATGTACCGAAGTTCGGTATTTTCGGTATTCGGTATACCGATACCGGTGCATACCTAAACAGCGATAAGCTGATTTACCGACGAGTCAGTAGGAAGAAATCCCGATTTATTCTCACATTTCAAAAACCCTAAAACGTGCCTATAGATAATTTTACGCTGCACAAAATATCAACAATACCTCAAACTAATTTCCTGTTCTTTCTACCCAGGTCATAGAATCTAGTCTGAGGATCCAGAAAGAACCGATGAAGCACTGCTGGATATGGCAAGATGTTCCAGGATCCGCCCGGGTCCTATGAAATTCAAGCTCGATCCCAGCAGGATTTGACAGGAACCCTGACGGATTTAGCTGGGTTAGGATCCAGAGGTAGGAAATCGATGGATAACTCACCATCCGCTCTCAGAAAATGACAGGATTTTGCTAGCGTATCCTTCGAGTTTCAGACATCGGATGTCTGAAGTGTGAGCGATGACTCACATCCTCGAAAATTTGACTTTCGCATTTTTCATTTTCTGTATGTCGTATTTGAAGGGGCCAGGTCGTGAACCAAAACGGTGATTATATTCTGCACACAGAAAAAAAAGATAAAAAAGGAGGCCAATGTGGGACATTTCCCATTTATTAATTTGAATATACATTTATTTATATATGGGATTTTTGCGCAGGAAATGAAACGACTTGTGTTTTCAAAAATATTTTTTTTCCACTTTTACGGTTTCTTCCTGCTTCTACGTTAAAACTAAACACGGTATGCAAATACTGTCGACAGACGACCGAACTTGTCTTTCAACACATAATCGATTGTCGCAGTTTCTTGAAATTCATTATAAGACAAACTATGAATGCAAAAGCTATTTCTGGTTTATCTTTACTGATGCTGTGCGTACGTGCTGTAATGGTAAATGGTCTAACATGGACGAGTACCTATACGCTTGATTCAACCTGTGGCCGAACATCTTGCTGTTGTTTGAACGGACAATTAACCGTAACACAAGCAGGTACTATTTAGCTTTATCGTTTGGTTCAGACGAATTTTTAACTTCTTTTCTGTTTTAGCTGGCTATTTAGGATTTAGTTCAGGTCTATCCGGTGTTTGTAGTGATAGTACAACGATTACTGCAGTAGCCTCAATACCTAGTGGTTACTCAGCCAACGTAACAGTATTTGGTACATTGTTCTATTTAACACTGAGTTCAGATAGCAAAACAATCAATGCTATCAATTCAGCTAATTCGGCATGTAATGGTATTGAATTATTCAAAAAATGAATAGTCGTCACAGTTTCTAACGATCTTTTGAATGTATGTTCTTTGGTGTTTGATCCTGTAATATCAGAAGAAGTGTTAACGCTATTCGAAGTGGATCCGAGAAGTTGTACGATCATACAAATTCGGTAGCAGCCTTGATGTTCGCAAGCATAGTGATTAAAGTGTTTAAACAGTGATCTATATCACATATTTAATCAAGTGTAGTTTGAACCAGAGAAGGAATCGGATGAAACTTATTGATCTCAACCCACCCCGCCCCGAACGTTTTGTGACCGCATCCGAATCTTTTTTCCTTGACGCGAATGAACCTTGAAAAAGATTTTTAAAAAAGAGGTGTAACTTTAGTTTTGTGGCAGAAACGCATGAGAAACTGAATATTTTTCCGGTGGCCCGAACGGGACCCGAAATATGTTTTTATTTCTCTCGAAGCTCATCCGTTTCCGCCTCTGGTGTGAACTATAGTAATCTGAAATTGTGACTTTTATATTTCAATATTCATGTAATAAAGAAATAAAAGTAATTCTACTTTTAGTTACGAGAATAGGCGTATCGCGTTTGAAAGTTGCCCTACACTCTAAATACAAACGTCTTGTACAAAACCTAAAAGGTTTTAGAAAAGTCTCCCGAACAGATACCCTTTATGGTGTGGTAAAATGCTGCTAAGAAAGGTATCGTACATGTCAGACAGCTCCGCGAAAACCTTTTCTGATGACGGGTAATAAACCCTTAAAAAAGGTTTAGTAGAGGGTTTCTGACATCTGTAATTCCGCTGTCCTCTAATCTTCGACTATTTCTGTATTCTGCTGTTATACAACATTTGATTCAGTCCTGATTCGTCCACATGTTAGTTGATTTTCCTAACAATTTCCGACACTTCAGTTTATAATAATTTCTTGAGGCTTCTTCATTGAGATCACTTTTTTGATAAAATGTGTAAGATAAAATTAACATCAAAGAAATATCACGAGACGGGAAGCACAAAATGAGAGTAAAAAATAGTGATCTAAATTAAGGATGAGCAAGAATTTTTATATAGGAACTTCGTTTTCTTTTCTAATTCATTTGATTAATTCTTCAAAGACAATTAACCGCTATGTTTTAAAAGATTATTCTTTTATCAACCTGTCAAAAACACATATACGTTTTTTACAGTTTACTCTATTCTGATACTATTTAGACTTTCCTATACGAGAAATTTTTTGTTTTTCTGTTTAAAGAATAAAATAAGAACAGAACAAATTTTATATTTGTTAGCCGACTCAGAAGATCGCTGTGGGTGCAATAACAGTGACAACAAAAGAAATGACTGCATAACGACGACGACACGGATGATATATAACTACGAAAACAAATAATTAAATCTACTGACGAAGACGTGTGCAGTCAGTGTACAAAAAGAATGAATAGCCTAAATAGGATCTAAGAAAGAAACGAGGGTACATATATATATCAAGAAGAAAGAAATGACGATGTCAAATAGCGCATAAAGAGAACATACAACCAAAAAGAACGTCTTAGAGCAGAATGCTCTAACAATATTTTCATAAAATGTTCATCTTTTATATATTCAAGGAAGAGAGTGCTCACCCTAACCTTATTTCGTATTGTACCAGCTTCGCGAATTTCAGTTACATTAATTAGAGAAGATCCGTTTCCATTTTTTATACTAGTTTAAAAATTTGATTATAATTGCAGCTGTTTTAAACTTCATTTTATTTAGTTGATATTTCGACCTTTAACTGGTCATTTTCAAAACATTACAAAACTATGTGTACAAGAATTGAAAAACAAAACTTCTTTTCTTTTTTCCCTTACGTGATAACGCAGAACGAAAAAGAGAAATCAAAACATAACCTAGATCATTCTTTTTTTCTTGTATTTCTTGTTGTTCTTTCAATTCTTGTACACATAGTTTTGTAACGTTTTGAAAATGATCGGTTAAAGGTCGAAATATCAACTAAATAAAATGAAGTTTAAAACAGCTGCAATTATAATCAAAATTTTGATAAGTAAGTCGTTGCCCCCAAACGCTATACTACTATCCGCAAAATAAAAGACTCCACTGTAACTTGAATAACGTTTGATAGGAAGAAGATAGAAACCTGCGGTCTTCACCAATGGAAAGAGGAGACTTGGGGGCATCGAGACATGAAAAAAACGAAAAATATCAAAAACTTATAGTGGGTTTCTAGAAAACCGGGTTTTTGGAAAACCCCGGGAAAGTGTACATCACAGTATCAGGATTTTTATCCTTTTCAACTTTCTGATATATTTATAATTCTGATGATGTCAGTTGATAGCCCACACCTTTTTCTATCGAATAAAACAAACCCGACATTTTTCTGACCTTCTGACGAGAAACTGGACTTGATGCACCGGAAGCCCTAAAATGAAGCCCTAAAGTTTTTGACCTACCTACCACACTTTTTTCTGCCTTAAGACGCTCAAACTAATGAAAAAGTAGCTTTTCGACTATGCTGAATATCATGGTATCATTTTTAATGTTTGACCGATGATCACTAGTGTCATTACAAAAAAAGCAGTACTGAAATAGAGGCATTTATCACAGCAAATTTCGCAACAATAAATGAAAATTCATTAATGCACGTATTTTTTGTTTAATATAGTCTCTGTTATAGTGAAAGTTACTATAGGCCTCTTTTTCTTTTCTTTTCGGTTCGTTCTCTATGTTTTGAAAGTAATACACGTTTGGAATATAAAGCTGTATTTGACTTCCGATCAGTTATGATCGATTAATCCGGTAGCAGTCTCGGTATAAATTTCAGATTTTGTTTTCATTTTCACACTTCTTTCAAATCAACTAACAATAATGCCGAAAGGTGAAAACTTCGGATCGGATGTGAAACAGCTGATGTTTAGGGTGATCAAGTTTGTTGAAAGCGAAAAGATCGGGGCAGTTATCCCATTATTCAATACAACTGATAGATTGGAAGCTATTCTTGGTATATCAAGAGCAGCTATATTTAGATTAAGAAATGAGATGTCTACTTCGACAACAAACAAGCAGCAAGCGAACGATGATAATAATAAAGAAGAACAAATTCAGTTAAGAAGTCGAGCAGCATCAGAAACATCAACATTAAGAAAGAGTTCACATCGAAAACGGAAGTATTCATTGGATATTCCAAAGGCAAATTCTCCAAAAAAGAAAAGTCATAGTGGGCGAAAAGTTATTATGGTGAATGAGAAACAACAAGATCTTATTCGGTAGTTTATTTGTTGATGTTCAAATATTCTGATCTGTCTTTTTCATCCTAGATATCATTTTCATTCGATGTTGGCAGAAAAGATGTACCCAACGTTAGAAAAATTACTTTCTCGTCGGCTCGAACATGATGATAAATTCTCGATTAAAAGCAGAACAACCCTTCGAAGATGGATGAGAAAAATGGGTTTCGAATATAAGAAAACAGCAAAAATTTCCATTCCATTAGACTCGAGAGGTTCCATGGCTCTACGAGCCGAATATTTTACTGATTATACAACAACTCAGTCGGTAAAATTCAGATCCAAAGAGGATCCATTCAATTACAAATTACACATACAAATTATATAAAAATACCAAAATCTATTTTTTATTAATCACTGACACATATACACAAAGTAGCAAAACAAAAATTAAATTGAACAATACTTGTTATGAATTATATAAATTAAGATTACTGTTTAACCATCTGTGACATGACTGCACAAGTTCTATCGATTTTCCAAAAAAACTGAAAAAATCCTCCTCTGAAGAAGGGGACAGTGGGTGCTACTTGTGAGGCAACTTTCAATCACAAAAAAGCTATAAACAGTATTGAAAACACTATTTTCTGACAGTACGCAGTCGAAAAACGAGCTGAACTTTTGAATTAGCGGCGCTTTATGAAAGATCGGATTTCCTGTACCATTTTTCTGTTTAGGTGGTGGTGCGCATGAGTTATGAGTTAATGTTGATGGAGGAATAATGGACGTATAAACGTATTTTATCCTTTTTTTGTTTTACTTTTATTTTTTGTTTGTTATACCTTTTTTATACTTGTTGCGCTGGTTGTCTTAAATAAATGACTACTACGAAACATTGCTAAAGTTGCGATAGTTCGAACAGTTCCTAATGCTAACATAGTTCCTTATATGCCTATAGTCTTTAAACTAGGGATAGTTTCTCCAGCTCCTACTGTTCCTATAGTAAGCAGGAATCCTATAGTTTCAATGCATGAATTTCGAAATAAATGCAATTTACATAAAGGAGGGAGGCGGATAAGCCCATTTTCCATCCCTTAATATATTTGAAAAAGAATTACATATTCGGAATCAGCGTCAAATTCTGCACCGAATGACATATGTGATTCACTCTAAACTCGACTTTCATTTTTTTCCAAAAATTTTCGTCTCTATGACCGATCCCTTTGAACTTCGAACAACGTTTTTTCTCAAACTTCAATGAACGATACATAATTCGATGCAGAATTTCATGCTCCTTGCGAACATCAGATCGAAAGTTGCAAAAAGTCGTTTCTTGACCGAAAAAGTTGAGTTTACCAGAAGATGGCGTTCGCGACCTAGTTGAATATATACGGTTTTAGTGCCTCACGATGATATTCGATAATATTCAAAATTAGCTAGATATGCTCAAAAGCGTATCAGCTTTTCTAGCATCATATTCAAAATGTTCCAAATGTCGATTTTTATTGTAGTAATCGCTTTTATGTATATGTATTTATGAGTTCTTGGAGCGGTACACCGACGCTTCTGCGTGCGACGTTTCTGCGAATGAAATTCCTTTCACAGCACTCTCACGCAGCTTACTGCCACCACATTTCAAATAACGGAAGAGTCGTTTGGGTGAAAAGTCGATTCGCGGAAGAGTCGGTTCGCACACATGCTCGACTCAGAATTTAGAATAGCAGAGTTTTTTTGGTTAATGTGTGACTTTTGCACCTGGTTCCTACGTTATTTCCAGGGTTCTCGCGTTTTTGCTTAACGGATAAGGGAAGTTGGAAGAGCCGAAGGTTTTATTCGGATATTACCTGTTGGATAAGAAAGAAAAGGAACTTTGATCATCTACTTTTTTGTGGTTGAAAGCAAAGAAAGGAAGGTCGATGCGTGCAGTAGCTAAAACCACTGGTGGTGGATGAAGGAGCAGACACACCAAGGTCTATTCTGACAATATGGATGAAGGAAAATCTTTTAGTAGTCTTGTTTGTGTAAACTGACGGAAGTAAGAGAAAAGGATAAAGGATGGAATGGTCAGAAGAGGCAAACTCAAGGTCATTTTGCAATAGTTTTGAATTTTTTTTCTCTCCCGATTGGATCATATACATTAAGTGATGGCAAAGTTGATGGACAAAGTCGAGACTGTGCAATCAATTCAATATTGTACTGTTCTTCTTTCGGTTTCAGTTCGGTCACGTACTCCATGACAAATTGTTCAATCGATTCGTGACAACTTCTCATTGCCATTGCTACTACTTTCTCCTAGATTTCAAGGAAAATTCGTAGTTCGTACTTTTCGCTTCAAAATCTTTGAGCATTTCATTATTTTATTTTCCATATTTTCAAATCGTTGTAACAAAGAATTCAGCACGACGGTATTCAACGGCATTCGACAAATGATCGAGTTCGGTAATCGCAGAGAAGAACGTATATATCCGATTTCGACAAAGACCAGACGATACAAGGAATCGTTTGCCAGGGTCGCCAGATGTGATGGATTTGATAGAGGAAGTGTCCGTGAGATGGTGACACACGCTTTATTTGGCTTCTTCACACTACAAATCGTTCCACTCACATACAGAACATACACTTATGTAGGAGATAGAGAGAACAGCGGTCAAGCATAACGGTCAGAGCCATGGAAGCGGAATGGTGATAAAGGAATGCCCCCTAAAGAGTTGGACACATTATAAGACCCTCCCACAATAAAACAGCCCCCTTGACTAAAATACTACTAATAACTATAGAAATAAATAAACTGTTAGCTAAGTGTGGCGTTTACATTGTGACTTTTTTTACAGTTACCAAGATATGTGATTGATTAGTATTTTTATAACGAACAGTAAACGATAACCGTTTAAAATTAAGACTGCGTTTTTACGTTTGCTGTCGACGATGGAAAACATATAGTAGAGTAAAATGTAGATAATAAGTAGCGTTCTTGCTAAGTAGATGATTTAGTGAGTCCAATATCGCTGTATAAGTATATTTATACATTTTTTATTATCAACTACAACTGTTCTCTGTACATTATCGGTTTTAATAAAGAAATCCGTTGCTCAGTTGATCTTTTTTATGGAATTCTAGCAACTTTTTACAAATTTAAAATTGTAATATACATTTTTATCATTGCAACTAGAATTCCATGTTTTGCAAAGGATAAAAATACTGTCGACGAAACAAGAAGCAAGCTTAATTGATTAAAAACATAGTGTCGACGAATCAAGATAAAAAGTGTCGGCGAATCGAGCAAGAAATTAGTATCGACGAAACAAGAATACCCCGTTGCAAAGCTGTTCTGACAAAGAAACCGAAAACCAGGAAAACAACATTGATGATGCACAATATCAATTATAGAGAGCTAGCTTATTGGCTACAAGCCAACTTGAAAAGATGTTCTCTTCATCTTTCATGGCGCGTGTACACTCACTACATCAATTATCTCTTTCTGCTGTAATATTTCTGTGTCCCAATACGTCAACAGACCATCTTTTAGGTAAACTAAATGTCCCACAGAACTACAAAATAGGACATTCTCATTTTCAGAGTCCGCTCCATATTTTCGTTTTTATATTTTTCTTACACACTTTTCAGATCTTGAATAAACAGGATGAGAAAATGACACAAAAAACGTATTGAAAAACACCATGGTGATAGCTAGAATGCGGTTTTCTGCTTCACACCACATTAAAGAAAGAAATCAAGCAAAGGATCGCACAATAGTCACTTCTCAGCAAATGCGACATATAAACCTCTGTACATTTATACACTGTACACTTGAAACAATCTATTTGTACTATAAACATGGCAACTTTTTCAACGACTTCTAAATCAAAACCTTGATTAAGTTATGCTGGCTTTTTTTTTTATATTCGTCACAAAACGCATAATACTAAAATTTATTTGAAAATATGAAGAATCTTGCGATTCAAATATTAAATGTGAACCGCATATTCATAGAGTACTATCCCCTAGCACCGAACAAGCTTAGCAAAACATGAAAGAGTACAATTTTTATTTTCTAGAAATCTTGCGAGTGAGAAAACGTCTTTTATTTATCAATCATCATAATCCTAACATTTAACGAATAAAAAACGTAATAAAAAGTTGGTTAGTACATCATGATATAATTTAAGTCATAATTTAACCACCATATTTTATTCTTCTTTGTACTTTTATTTTTTGTTTTACTTTATATCTGCCACGGCCACGGCTGATTTTTGTTTTACTTTTCATATTTTGCGTATATTTTACTCGACTGGGTTGTCTATATGGTTTGTGTTTCCTACGTAATGCTCTCATTGGAATTTTATGTCTCAAACGTGACGTTCTCGATGGAAATTTGTGTTTCGAAGAACCAAATAAACCATCGCAACAATAGGCTAATAATATTAAAATTAAAACAAAAATAATAACTGTACGCGAAAGTAACATAATAATGTGTGTGGATACTAGAATGGATCAAATACTACATATAACAACGTGTTAAATAATTACTACGTTTTTACTTACGTTTTGTTTTTATCAGTAAATTTTCAAGTTTTCATACTCGAAATAGGTAAAAGAGACAGATAAAAATATATAAGAGAGAAAGTACAAAAGCATTAAAATAGGTTAAAAGTTTGTATTCATTAAAATGGCCGTATACAATTCCCCGCTATGAGCCGCAACACGAACATTCATTTGCAATTAACTCAATCTTTAAGCGATCTAGTTTCCTTGCTTCTGATCGCGAGTTTTTCCATCTGTACTTCTAGAGTCAAGCAACATTTCTTAAATGTTTAGTTTTATGGCGCCTGATCGAGAAGAGAAGAGATCTAAGCTTGCTTCATCGTGTGATTTAAAGAACAACGTTTTACACAGTTACTCTTGTAAATGCTACATCTTTGAAAACTTTTAGACAAAGTAATCGGGAAAGATGTTGTAGATAAAGAATATCATAGATTTCGCTATATATTTTAAAATACCTTCATCAGTAGAAAAACTGAAAAATAATCTTGAGTGATTTAAAAA